ACTGGCGCAAAGGCTGTCGACAATTGCGATGCCATTCCCTCTCAGGATGTGTTCATTTATATGAAACAAAAACAGATTTTGTCCGCAAAGGATATCAATGAGAAACAACGGTATTGATTGCAATCAAACTTATATTTAATTAATAGTTTTGTGAATTAATTGTGCATTTGTTTTATATAGATATTTGTCTGAATTGAGTGATGTGTTAAAAGGCCGACAATATGTGGACAAAGTTTTGCTTGAATTTGTTGATAGTATTAAACATTTGATAAAAATGGACACAAATTCTGTGCTAAACACTAAACAAGAGCTCAATAACAGAGAGTGTTATCGAAAATTTGTCGACAATTTCAACGATAATTGTTTTAATATAAATCAGGTATTAATTATTATTTTTTAATAATTAATATTTTATATAATTAATAATATTATATTAAAAATCCATAGCATTTATACGCGTTCCACAAATTGGGTGTATTTGTAAACATCTGTGAATCGTTGGCACAAACGAGTGATGCGGACATTGCTGTCAACCAATTGATCGCAAGTTGTAATCAACGTTCAAAACATGAGTTTCTAAGCATTCAATAAATTTAACACAAAATCTGTATTTAAATGTAGTTTTGGTTTTATTTATAAAATAAATATTTGAACAATTTTAAACATTTTTATTAAAACTAATTTTTATTTGTCATATTTTTTTTAAAATTTTAGATCATAAATACTGTACAAATAATCTACGTAAATCATATAAGTTACAGTATACATTTATTGAAATGATTATTTGGTTATTGGGATTAACTAATAGACTATTAGTAATAGTTATCTGACAATAGTTTAGATCAATATAAATCAAGAAATATAAACATAAATGAATTTAATCCGTAATAACACCGTAAAAATAGGCGCAAAACAGATCACCCTTTTTGCCGATAAGTCTAGCCTTAAACTCAGTTTCATCGGGAGGGCTGGCGCCGGGAACGGGCAGCTTATATGAGAACATGGTATTCGTACCTTTTATGATGGGACAGGGAGTGCCTTTGCAACCATCTCTGTCAAAGCCGGGGATCAGTGTAGATAAGTCCAGATCCAAACCACCCACAACGGCGTACAGATACCATTTGGCCCAAGCGCTGTCGGCGTCTATTAAAGCACGATGAAATGAGTTTTGATTAATACAATGATGGAATTTAATAAATTAGAATATAAAATTTTATTAGTGTATTTTAATAATTGTATTTTAATAATTGTATCTATATTAAATATGCTGCGTTTAGTTTATGTCAGCACTTACTGGCGGTGTAATTAATATCAATGGTAACCACCGTTCCCTTGTGCAGAATGCAGGGACTTGTAGTACATCCACTAATTGAGAGGTTGGTTACTTCAGCATGTCCTGTATAATTAACTACAAGGTTAGTTTTATTCACATAACAAGCAATTTATATATTAAGCTTGCCACAATCTTTGTATAGGATGCCGGCTGAGACAGCGGCAATGAGCAGGGCCAAACACACCATCTTCATTATGGTTGTTTTCTACTAGAATTATTTTTAATTTTACAAAGTATTTAGATTAGTTTATTAATTTTTGATATTTATATTATTATATTGTGTGAATTATACCATGTGTTTAATAATTATTTAATATAATTGAATTACTACTTATGCTATTCCTAATTAAAATCTATTATTATGTTCAATAATTGGTGAAAATGTTATTTTCTTATTCGAAATTGTTGTTAATTTAACACTTTATTTGTATCATCTGTGGATTAATGCACTGGGTCATTTAAAACTGTTGGCTAAAATCAGGTATCAAAGTCAGTGGTAAAAAATTCCAGCTATGCCTCAACCAAACATTTGAGTAGGTTTTGGATTAATCAAAACTTCATTTGCATATCTGGTGTCCG